TCTCAGATCTTCAGCTCCGACTGGTTTTCCATATTTAGAATCCCTATCCATAGGTACTCTATAGGTATTCTAGATGGTATATGTAAGCTATATTAAGGTATTCAACAGGGTATTCTTGGAAAGCCACCGAAAAAGGTGGATAACTGAGGGGGGGGGGGGGTAGCATATATATATAATATATATATGATTTCAATGATTTTCGTTGATTGAGGCTCATCTTGCACGTCGCGAAGGATTTGGGCCATCTCCTGGCAGACATATGATTGATATCTTACAGCTTAGTTCTGCCCTCAAAGATCAACTCCCCGACATGGTGTGATCAGCAAGAACCGAGCTTGGCAAAAACTATGGACATCGACTATGGGAACATCAAGTGAAGCTCTGGATCTCCGTTAGACTGCTTCCAAAGTCTTGAAGATAGGATGTGGCTCTGAACGATTTGCACACTCGGGCCTTGTATTCCTCCAGCAAGGCGGGCACATTGCCGACTTTCAAAAGCCGGGCTGACTGTACTCCCTGCGCACAAGCACAGAGCAATAACTACATGATCGGGTTGAAAGGGTTACGGGTCTTTGACTTCGGCCATTGCGGTCTGTTCCCCATCGCGTTCAACCAGTCAAGCTGCTGAGGAATCCTGTCTCGCATCGTCATGCGGCTATTAAAAAATATCTCCCCTCCCCTTTTGGTGCTTATTGGATTCTGGCCCTTCTAGCTGCTGGGACTTTGATGTACATGCACCTTGCGCAGTCCGTGTTGCATATGTACAGGGTTTGGGAAGAATTCAGATCTTTCTTGAAGGTATTTGGTCTGAACACGCCCGGACGCCAAACCCTCAGAGAACACCTGACTCGGGACCCAATCTTGTAAAACCCCAACTCACTTGCAAAACCTGCCGCATTTGCTGCCCCCGTGCGACGGGTTTTGGAACTTGCTGGAACTTTCTATGCTGAGAAGGCCTGGCATAGATCAAGGAAGCACTTCTTGCTTGATCATCTCTCCAAGTTGGAAGCTTACATTTCTGCAATGCAAAGCCCATGTCGGAACGACTTTCTCCACAAAGCCCTCTAGCTACAAGAATTGCGCAGCTGCATCGCACGCCTCAAAGCTCAAGGCGACAGAAGCAAATCCTTGGCAGCTGACGGACGATATCAGAACAAAGCTCGCAGTGCTAAGGAGCCTGATGATCAGCAGGACGAATACTATCATAAACATTATAGTTCTTACATCTACCATACTCGTCGTTGGTCTTATTCTGCTTCTTCGTACTCCCATTGTGTTTCTTACTGTTACTCTTATTATCGCTGCAAGTGCCGCTAGTACTGCTACCCTCCTCCTCCTCCTACTACTACTACTACTACTGCTACTACTAGTGTGACTATTATGCTGCTTGATAAAGAGAAGTAAACAACTACGTCAACGAATAATGCTTGAATAATGTAATAACTGAATACAAACATGACTAGAGAAACAAACACATACCCAAACCTTACATGTTGCTTGTTGAACGTATTCGGTGACCCTCATAGGTCTTGGGCGACTCAGTGTTCTACTATAGGAGCCTGAATTAGTAGAAGAGGGATTCTAGAGGGTTTTATGAGGATGTTCGAGGGATTTAGAGGGTTCTGGCATCGGGGCCGTAAAAATCAGCATGTGGTTCCTGAAAGGCTCTTTCAAGGGTTCTACAAAAGTTTATGAGGTTTTAGTGAACAGCCGAACAGCCCCAGTCACTAGAATAGGGTTCCTTTAGGGGTCCTGCATGGTTCTTGAGGAGCCTTTGAGGCTTTGGTGAAGAGCCCCTTAGTCATGAGACTAGCGTTCCTTTAAGGGTTCCTGCGCATGTTCTATAGGGGGTTGTGAAGCTACCTTAGTAGTCCTTAATAATTAGAAAAGGGTTCCGTTTCATATCCGCAAGCTTGCTTTTTTGCAGGAGGCGACTTGCCTGAATATGCCTATTCCAAGAATTTGCGGGTCTGTCAGCAGCAACAAATACTGGAGGAAGTAAAAGATGGGCGCAAGCTCAACCAAAAGTCCACGGTGGCGAGTGTCCGCACTCACTAGCATTTTGCAGGGCCTCCGCTTCCGAGAGGCTGTGCATCAAACAAGTCTTTGCCAGATGACTTGGGTCTATTTGGGTCTTGGGTCACACAGATGGGACTTCACTGCGACAGTCGGGACCCTGCTGCCTCGGCTGGAAACACCTCACGTCTGCAAAAATCTACCAATCCTCTGACAATATAGAAGTCTTGGACCGGGCCCTGCACGCTCTGCCACACTTTTCTTGGCATCGTCGCTGAGCTCCGCGCCCTGTGAGATACCACAAACAGCTCGCGCAATGTTTTGACATGCGCAACCGTGAGCCCCCGACAGCGCGGGAATCAAACGGCAATATGTAATGAACCTCGAAACCCTTCAGCCACCAGGCCTTTTCGGCTGCAGTGGCTGCTTCCTGTGGGGTCGAGGCTGCGCCATTCGCCGCATAGCCTTTGGCGGCAAGGGACCTCGAGATGGGATGGTGGAAATCAGCAGGCTGCGGAGCATTATGGGGCCGGTATGGTTTGATTATGCTGCTGAGTTCCGGCGTTAAGGTTGAGGTGATAAAGTAGCACGAAACATCAGGCTCCTGCCTGCTTTTTCCGGCTTAGCAACCCTGCCTTCGACACAACCGGTAAGAGTGTTTGTTTTCTTGCTGTCGTTGTAGGGGCGTGTTTATATTTTTGCTGTCGTTGTGGGGGCGCGTTTATTTTTTGCTGTCGTTGCGGGGTGCGTTTATCTTTTGCCATTTGCTGTCGTCGCAAGGGCGCGTTTATGTTTTTGCTGTCGTTGCAGGGGCGCATTTATTTGTTCGCTGTCACTGTGGGAACCGTGGTTCACTTCCTCACTGGCTTCCTGGGTCCGTGCAACGACAACAAAAAACAACATAAATCAAGTACAGCCAAACAACACGGGTTCCCAACACAACCCAATACGTCTCACATATGTGATGTGTACGTGCACAGGCGGACGGCTGCATCGACATTTAGGATTTAGGATTGCATGTCTGTTGAACAAACATATATATATATATATATAATATGATTATAATATGTATATTGATGGAGATCAGGGGGGGCTCTCCGGGTCCGTTGCTCACTGCATAACTGCTTGAACTCCTCCTCTGAGACGTCCAGCACCTGCTCGTATTAGCGGGTTGCCGACTTGGCCCTGCTAGAATTACGAAACTGAACTGCTCTGGACTTTGGGCTTTCACCTAGAGGTCAGTGCAAGGCATCCGCCCAGGTCAGGAAATTTGCTACGCAAAAGCATTCGCTCATTCTGATTCCCGCCAAGCAAGCCGGTTCATCTGCCGCACAAGGCCGATCAGCGATTCGTGCTGGCTATGACGATATTCAAACGTCCTAGGCACTGGCCTTGTGCCCGGCATCCTTGATGAAGGCCACAGCTGACCTCAAATGGCAAAGCTGTTCCTTGTTCAAGGCCAGCATATGCCGTGACATGTCTGCCTTGTACTAGTAGCAGCTGCAAGGCAAAAAGGCACATCATGCCAGTGCGTGCCACACGTGCGAAGATCTCCGGGGTCCATGCTGCACTGCTGTGAGAAAATACGCGTCCTCGCGGTCTGCATGCTAAGATCTACAGCGCTGCACCGCTTCATGGCTCACTTGCAGGCTCGCTCCGTGATCCGAGGCAGTCTTCTTGTCTATGGTATTATGGTCATTCAAAGGCCTTGTCTGGCTGGTTTAAACTTCAGTCCAAAGCTTGGAGAGAGCAAAACCCCTGCAGAGAGGGCATGACAGCTCGCCTCTGCGACAAGTCGCGAAGGATGCCTTCCGAGAGAAAGTCTATCCGTGCACAAATGGCTTGTTGTTGTTTGGTTGTCCCACTCCCCGGCCGCATTCATCATACTTCCAGAGCCGATGCTGTGAACTCCAGAAGCCACGGGCCTAGGGGCCGAAGCACCACGCCCACCGAAGCCCCAACAGCGACTGCGAAGTGACTGGTGGCGAGATACAGCTACAATCAAGACAAGAGGGAAAGGCAGTTCCCGGGTGTGGGGGCATTACAACAAACCGGTTTGAAGGCTTTGCGCGTTGTGCATCCTTGCGCTTTCCGGGGCAGATGTACAAAGAAACAATGGATGTTCTCATGGAGCAGCCAACCAACGCACAGGGTTGGACAACGGAAGCCCCACTCTCAACCGACCTGAATCCGTACCCTCAGGTTACACGTCATATCTTGTGCCACAGTAGGCCTGAAAGCTGCCACGAACTCGATGTTCGAATGGAGACGGGGAGGATTGGCCTTACAGTTGGCTGACATCGCTTTGTCGTCGAGAGCAAGGATTTTGATCAGCAGATAAAGGTTGCTTTGATGTTGATCACGAGATGTTTGGTTGACACCGATTTGAGGTGGTTGATTGGTGGTGGCGACTCTCACCATGATTGAAGTCCTTCTGAAAACTCTTGCTCTGATATAGGCTTCCGTAGCTACCAGTTCATGAACGGCCTGTTTCAGCATCGTGTGCGACTCTGGATGCTCTACACCGGAGTTGGCAGCATGTCAGCAAGTCATACACAAGAGCACCCGGTACAAGTAGCTTTCACGAACTTCGGGGCAGAGGGCTACCAGCTTTAAGGATTAAATAGTGTTTCGGAAGGTTTGCTCCAGCTGGCAGCAAGATGCTCGAGCACTGGTAATGCTTGTGTAGACCATCAGCCAAAAGACTCCGACGGCGCAGTGGATCACCAGTTCGGACCGCATCAAAAGAAACAAACGCTTTCCACCGTGTCAACTTGACTTGCGTGGGCGGCGGAGCATTAGGAACTCCAGGCCTTGAAGCCTTCGTCCTTAAGACGATCTCAAGTCACGGCCGAGGCGCCAAAATCAGGGAGTAAATCAGCAAGGGCAGGAAGTCATCAGCTGAAAGCGGCCGGCTGGCACCGCCTCGGAACAAAAATTGAAGCTCTTTGGCTTTCTCTGGGGAAACAGCTTTCTTGGCCCCGGCCCCGACCCCGCATTTGCACTGAGATCTGAACTTGCCACAATGGCACGCTTCAGCACGTCGTTGATCTTGGATTGTAGGAAGAACGACAGACAGCTTGCTACTGAAAGGACCTGAAGGCCCACGCCACGCGGCAGGAATTCCCGATGCAAACCATCTTGTCCCGTGGCGCCTGCACCACCAAAAAGTTTATGAACTGCTGGATGTCCCTTCGACGGCGACTTAGTCTGCATACCTTGAACTTGTCCATACTGTGCAGCTGCTCCACTGCCAAGTGTAAGAGTGAAGTGTCCACCTTGGAACGCTTCAGTCTGTACGCAGCTCTGCAAGTGAAAGGTGAAATGCTTCCGCCCTTTTGCTGCAAAGGTGACAAGGTGCAGTGCAAAGCAACGTTGACGCCAAGACATCTCGGGAGCCACACTGGTGGAACACCCAGGTTGTCGAAGCCCACCCAACCTCGGTGGCATCGTAACGCGTCTTTTCGCTGGAACTTTCAAGGAGCAAGCATGAACTCCAGTGGTGCTGAAAGTGTCAGAACCTCTCCGGGCTCGATGACTCTGTGGCCGCGGCTGAAACTGTCAATCTTCTGCCTCAGCGTTTCGTCCTGTTCAGCTGGGGGTGTGGCCTGAAATTTGTTGTAGGAGGTGCAGTCTACGATTGCTTCAAGTCTTTGAGAACTTACACCTTTTCCTTGTGCTACTATCCCCTTCTCGGCTGACCCTTTTTGCTGTACTCAGGCCAACAATAATGGACCTGTGGCAATGATGTTGTGATCGGAAGCTCCCGTCCTCCGTCAGGTCCGATGGCTCCATGGCGAAAAGGCGGGCATGTAATCTGCTCAGCAGGAACCTGGGCACATGGCCGCGAATTTTCCCAGGACAGCGACCTTGCATCTCAGCCTGTGAAATCAGTCCTGCTGCAATTCCAGCGCAGGGTTGCCTGCTGTTTATTCTGACACGTTGTTTGGGCCATGAACAGCGATGTCATCTTCAAAAGTGACTCGATCTGAAGCCTCAATTCACACTGGCGGAAGCTGCACAAAATGTCTTCTGGTCCCAGCCCAGCCACCCTCAGACCTTGCGGATTTTTCTGATTCCTGTGGCCACGGCTTCTCCAGCCCTTCAGCGGCATTTGTCTGTCCGGCCTTGCCGAAGTGGTTCTTGACCCGGACATTTCGAAGATCAACTTCTGTGGACTTCGAGGTGTGCTGTCTTGGGACCCTGCAGCTGCACTAGGGGAACAGCTCGAAACTTGGAAGGTCTCAGCTCATCTCCACCACGCTTCACTGATCATGCTTCTGTTTCTGGACCTCATTGATTCTGATTTCGATCATAGCTCTGCTTGCCCATTCAGCCCAGGAGTTTGCCCCTGTCGTCTGTCGTTCAGTGAATTATGAAAACCAACCATGCAGGCCTCATCTGCCTCAGCTGCGAAGACGAGCACCTGCGACAGCATCCAGTCCTGCGGGTGTTGCCGGATGTGCAAATGATGGGAGTTCGTAACGCCGCATGGAGCATGTAGTATTCACACCTTCCAGCCTTCCAGTCTCGAAGTTGCAGACTTGTCGGCCCAATGCATCAGAACGGGCGATGGGCAGGACCGCAGGCTACCCACAGGCCAAGGCGGACGAAGTTAGACGAAAGTCGGGGGAGATTTTACGAAGGCCGAAAAGGGGGCTGGGGCTCGACGCAGGTTGCGGGGGTTCGATGGCCTACGCCGGATACCGTGTGCCGTTTTGCTGCAAGCACTATTCTTTTACTTCACTTATGCAAAGCGCTAGCGTCCACAGATGAGTGCGAGAGACCCTCATTTTGGTGAAGCATACCCACAGACAGGAAGCATTCCAGGTCCGAATCACGTCCGTTGCTGCGTGTCACCAGCAACAGCACACCTATGACAATGAAAGCCTCACGCATATCGTCCTGGGTCGCAGAGAGGAACTTGTGAATGCGATCAGCAGCTTGCTCCCGGGACAGGCCTGAGAGCCGACGTTCTCTTTAAGCAGAATTCCGATCCAGCAGCAGAGACCTTCCCACCATTGGTACCAAACGCACCAACCTTGTATATTATGTCGCATGTCCAGGTTTTCGCCGAATCATGTTGTACTTGAGGCGGTGCTTCGGTTCGGGCGATCAAGAATCAGCCCTCATTCCCTTTCACGGCTACCGCAGCTGCCATGATTACGAACAGCTACACTTGCAAAGTCTTACAACAACTGCATCAGGAGCAGCAACAGGAACAACAATAGCACCACCACCACCACCACCACCGCCACCAGCACAACGACGACGACTACTACTGTTACACTTTTATCAGCCTCGAGCACCACGCCTTGAGCAGGGAACTTCTTGACAAAGTCCTCCGCACCAAACGGAACAGTTCGTCTCTCTCACTCTGCCTGTTTCTTTCGGCAGGGCTAGGGGTAAGGAGGAACTAGTCCCCCTCACTCTGCCTGTCTCTCTCTCTCTCTGTCTGGCTCTCTCACTCTCTCTTGTAGCCCATTGTAGCTGTCGTGGAAGCTTAGGTTGTTGCTCTAGGTTTTGGTCTTGGGGACTTGGGATTTCGGATTTTGGGTCATCGGCTCATGGCCACTCTTTCGACGATCATGGCTTCCAGAGTCCTCCTTTAGGGTCTACTGGGCAATTGCACTGCAGTACTTAGGTGTCCCATAGACTAGCAATTCTGAAAGGAAAAGCTGTAGCTCGGCTGTGAATCCAAATCCCGAAGCACACGTTCCAATGACTGCAACATCGCTGCATGCCTGCAGCCGTGCTAAAAGCGGCACCGCTGACTCATGCCTTTTTGCCGACGGAACATGCTTCAATTCAGGAAGTGGGCCGAGTAGTTCGGCCTTTGCCGTTCTTGGGGTGAGGGCTGGTCCAAGATGAGATGGATTCCAGAAGCTTCAGTTTTTGTTTGTGTTTTCAGTACTTTGCAGGATTTGTGAATTAGTGTGAGAACCGGTCTCCACCTTGTTTTGCATACAGCTTCTCCAAAAAATCATGACCGATTTTCTGAATGTCCGTGAAACTTCGTGACTGTATTACTTTGCCCATGCCTTGGTGTTGGATAGTTGGCCCTCAAGCTTGAAGGACGCATGCCAGACCGTCTAGTTGTCTAGTGATGACAGCACTTGCAAGATAAATCTTCTTGTCCAAATACCAGAAAAAAGGTAAGACCAAGAGCTTCCGATCACGATCATGCCGTTGCTGCATGCTTGCGGAATTTCTCGAAACGTATGTCGGAAAATCCCCCAAGGCAGCAAGCAGCTTTACCCGCCCTGAAGACAGACATGACAGACTACTGTTATCAAACTGCAAGCTTCAAGATTTCGATTTCAAGTTTCAGACTTTGCAGTTTCAGCTGTTGGTAGGCCGTTGGAATTTTCGGCCGGCCCTGCATCCAGAAAATATGCATTGGGAACCAAAAAGCCGTCCAGCACACCGAAAGCGCAGGCCTCCATATTTTTGAAATACCAGCCGGTCCTTGAGTGTCTCCTGTTATATCAATACTATGAGTGCCACTATTGCTCCTGGCATTTCTTTTTCTGAATGTCACATTGCACATGAAGAGCTTCACAGCAAAGTTCCGAACCCTGAACCCAAAAGCCCGAGAATCTCAGCGTCTGACTTCAACATTTCCCGGAAGATCATGTAATCGTAGCGTGGCGCAGCCGGTGCACTGGGAAAAAAGCTATTGAGGGGCTGCGGGCTTCCAAGCTTTCTGTCCGGAGAACGCAGGCGCGCAAGGAACGACCGCTTCAAGCTGCACAAACAGCGCACCTTCTCGACTCCACTAGGTTTGAAACATGTATCAACACCACCAGTCAGGAACACCAAACACCTCTGGCATTAAATCTAGGATCTATGTCAGCGTCAGAGTCTATGCCGTACCAAGAGAGTAATTTCTGGTTTGATGCGATCGTACCGATGAGCTGCCGATGAGCAGCATGCAATATCTCGCTCATAGCCCTTATCTTAACCTTTAAGCTTGTGATATTCCTGCAGTACCCAGGTCGTGGCCACTAGTTCCAGGGAACAGCATCTCGAACAAGTCGGGAAACCTTCATCAACATCCAGACTGGAGAACCTTGCCACCATCCTTGAAGCCTGGAATCTGCAGCGTGAAATTGGAAACCACGCCCCTGTGACCTCAATTTGCACGAACTCCCCGCCTGCCATTTGGATCGCCAGCCCCTTCCCGTGCGAGGGTCATACAGATTATCGTTTTGGCGCAGGCCCTTTGTGAAATACACTTCCCTTGTCAAAACAAGCTGCCACAGTTTTGCAGCCCTGTGACGGAAGCTGTGCTGAACGAAAGTTGTTGGCCTGACTCTTGCGGCTCTTCCGGCACATCCTGTCGCTGCTTGCGTGCATGGATGATGCACGAAGTCCAGCTAAGGCTAAGGTTCTCAGGAGAAATCTGCTTGATCTTCCGGTTCCCGTTTTCACATGGTCGAATAGGCTTTATAAGATTGGTTTTACGTAATTCGGTGCTCCATGATGCTACATTTGCAGCTTCAGCAAGCTTCGACAGTAGGGCTTTGGCTGTGCAAGGTTGCGACTGGCGCTGGGTCAAAATGGGATCGAACAGCAGTAGTGGCAGTCATCGCTGGGAGTCGCGGGCCATTGTAAGCCCCAAGAGCCTGTTTGCTTCTCACGGGCTCTTTTGGTGTGCTCTTGTGAGACATGCGGGTGCTTGGGAACCGGCAGGGTGCAATAGCAAAAGGCTCAAAAGGCTCCGAAGGCTGCTGTCTGCTTTGCATGATGCTGGAGGGTTTGGCTGCATGCCTTCTATGATAGAGATGCGACTCAGTATTACGAAAAAGTGACCATAATCCGTGACCGGTCACAACCGGTGATCAAGTCAACAATGGCACGTCATGTGCAGCACAACCGTTGAAATCTGAGGATCAAATACTTTTGTCCTCTGCCGGCTTTTCTGCATCCATTGCCAAGAGCCTCGATTGCATGCAAGTACCAGACCTGCTAACTGTGGAGCCTCATGGGATAGCTGCGTCACGCCTGTCGCCAAACACCCCACATGCAACTGCACGGGAAGCGCAGGACAAGAATGAATCTGATTCTCTTGGCGCAGGACACCGCGTGGTGTCAAATGGTCATCGGCCTAGAGGCCTTGTCTTGCCTCTTTCGCCATGTGTAGTCTCAACTTTTGAACAAGCCTCACATGATTCGGGTGTCGTGGAGTTGTGAATGGATAAGAAAAGCTTTGAAGCGTGCACGACGAGAAGCTCAATGTCTCAAATCGCTGTCAGACTAGCTCTTGAGCCGCATCCGGCGGACAAGTCAGGAGCAAACGAAAACTTCTTGCAGGGTACCCACAATGCACGATTGGTATCAGTATCAGTGTTGCTCTTCCTCTATTCAGTATTGCGAGTACGCTAAGTACGTGCTTTTGTCAATAGTACAAGTGGCCCTTCTTTAGCGGACCTTAGGATTATCAGAACGACTGGAACTGATGCTCGCGTTCCTTTGAGCTGCACGGCTTCCACGGTCGCCGGAAGCGATCGGAGGAAGGAAGTCTGCAGCCAAAGCTTTGAAGAAGCTGTCCTGCGATTTGCAAAACCGGAACGACGAACTGTTGCGGCATTGCAGCAACAAGCCGACCTATGTGCTGTGCTCCTTGCGGCTTTGAACTAAGGACTTAAGAAGACTCTTTCACTGAGCCAAGTGTCTCCATCAAGTGAACTTCCAGGCCGGATATGCTGCCAGTGCCCACACGCACAAGAAGGACTGCTTGCGACAAGTCAGTGATGCCTTGCTCAGACAGTGCTTCTTGATACCTGAGCCGGGCCCAGAACTTTTGGTGAGATATACATGTGCACATCTACGGACTGCTGGCAACCGAGATGCCGTGTTGGCTCGACTCCACTGCTGATGGCAGTGGGCATATACTGTCGTGCGGGTGTCTTAGCCCCGTGGAAGACCCAGGCAGTTGACCTTGGGCAGTCCATGCTCCACCACGACTTCAAGCGAGTCGGAAAGTGCAGGACGTTTGGCACTTTCGAGACCGCAGCCAGGCACCCGTCGGCAGCAAGATGGCTGCTAGCCAATCGGACAGCGGCAGAAAGAACCTCTTCTCCGCAGTCCCCACCGTTTCCAAATAGAAGACTCGCGCCAGTAGCGATGTTCTTGGGGTTCGGCATAAAAGGCGGGTTCACGAGAATGGCATCAAAGAGGCTGCTCTTGCCAAGCCCTTCGCAGCGCAGATCCTTCTGCAACAGTCCATCGCACCTCTGGGTTGGTCGGGGGGATCAAAGAAACGAGGAGATTAGCAAATGCCGAAGTACACGGCCTTTGGTGAGATCTTCCGGGCAGTACTATTTTCACTGTCTCTGCCTGTTGTGATGTAGCTGACTGAATGCACAGGTTTTAAATTACGTCGTCAACCATGTTGGGGTGGGCTTCCATTAGTCATTACCGGTCATCCCAGACTTCTCCAAAACACATCCTGGTTTGCAAAGTCCTCTGAACTACTTCAACTTAGACCGCCCGGCTCTACCGCTTTGACTTCTTTCAACTTGTTCCCAGCCCCCAAGCTGCTAAAGACTGGAATGCAGGTATAAAGTGATCTGTATATCTTAGATTCCTAGATGCTTGTGCACTTGCGGGCGTGTGCATCCGCGTATCCAATTCATGTTCTGCTGTGGGGGTGGATATGCAGAATCCTGTGCTGCAAACGAAAACATCTGTTTGTCAAGCCTCCCCAGCAAGCCGTTCAGGGCCAAGTTGAACCGGCTGAAGCCCACGGCACGGGGATTCGCGTCCACGAAAACCGCCCTCGCGTGAGCTTGCTTTTGAACTGTGGGTAGGGCCTGAGGACTAGCTAGGTTTTAGGGTGAGAATAGGGCTACGGGAAAAGCTCTCAGGGTGTGCTTTCACAGGTCTATGGCTGTAGTCTTGCACCGTCGGTTAAAAGGGGGCTGGCTACAAGGAGCTGGCGCTGTTGTGACAGCAGAAGTCGCGGCTGCAGCTGCCACAGCAGCAAGAGAAACAGTAGCGGTCGATAGCTGTTGCAACTGTTCTTCAATGCTGCTGCTACTGCTTGCTGTCGATGTTGCTACACTCGCACTGAAAATACGGAGCACACGATTTGCTTTCGCTGTAGTCCTGCCCAGCACAGAACAAAGAATAGTTGCGCACTGCTCTCCGCTGCTAGGTCATAGGGTTTTGGAGGTTCTGCTTCCCAAAACGGCTCAGTCAGATTCCTACGACAAAAATGCCATTCTTGCAGGTGGAACCCGGTGACATTTCAGAAGTGTCGGTCGGCCCAGAGTGTTACCAATGCTCAATGGAACTAGCTCTCTTCTCCGGTGAGCAATGGTGAGCATACCTACCTGGAGCCCCAACAGACACAGCGTTCCTTGAGGCGTAGTGCTGCAGCGCAACGATTCCTTGGCTCGGGAGGCTCCAGGTTGGGGCACGGTATGTCAGCACCTGAAACTGCATGGATGCTTCGCGCCTGACTTGCTTTCAAAAAGGTTCGTGAACCGTTGATGCGAACCCAGAGCTACTACGTACGAGACCCACGGATCCTAAAGGCAGGTACTCCAACCTAGTCAAGCCCCTTCAACTCTCCTTTGGGGCTCCAACGATCGAGCCGCTAACCCAAGATGCCAAGTCCCCAAAAGCATGAACCCACTTATCAAAGTCTGCAACCTTACACTTGACATAGACTTCTGTCTTCGCAGACCGGAGCTTCGCGAAGGACACAAGGATCTGCCCTTTGCCTCGCAATACAAAAATGTCCAAGACCGTTGAGTACCTAAGAACTCCAGTTCCTGAAGCACACCATCCCTGGCCATGCCTCAGTCCCTTCACGTTTCGATTATCGAAATGATTCGGCCCCCCGTTTTCTGCCAAGGAGCCCTGGATACCCGAGCCACAGCAAAGGTCAAGCAGCCGGCGGCAGGGCCGCCGTGGTGCAGCGGCTGCCAAAGCCAAAGAGTCCTCTCAGGCACCGATCGCGGTTTGGGTTGCGGAGGTGGTGATGCTGGTGAAGGGGATGGCAAGGGATGAAAACGAAGTGATGAACATGGATACGAGAACATGATTTGTGAAAAATAACTTATTGACTGTGGATCACCTTCAAGAATCCGCAGCACTACCAGCAAGGGCACCAGTGACGACATCCCCGTACGCAATCACAATCATCACCTCGACGATCGTCATCGTCGGCGTCGTGATGGTGTTCGTCGCCGTTATAAACACCCTCATTGGCAAACCATCACCAGCATGATGGTGAATATTGCAATTGCGACGCCCACTGCCTCTACCATTGCTTGACTTGCTTTGGAGCACTCTCATCATTGTCGGCATCTATGTTTCACGTTGTTCAATGTCTTGCGTGCTCAAGCCCGGTGTGGCCCGTATGCCTCATGGCCTCCAGCATCTAACATCTGAGACAGAATCTTTGTCATTTGAATTTTCAGGCGTCGGCAGCGTTGAGCCTTGAGGTCCTGAGCCTACAGCTACTGGCAAGAGAGCCGGGCCCCTTTTGCTCTGGTCCTCCGAGAGGTACATCACCGGCTCAGTGTCGTCCGAGAAGCAGGTCGACTCGAAGTCAGTAGCCACGAGCAGGTCGCCCTCCACCGGCCAAATCGCGACGGACGCAAAGACGCAAGGCTCGCAAGGCTCCTGGCATCTTCATCTTATGTAATGCTGTGGTTCAGAACTGGCGATCTGATTTGGGGAAGCTCCATCGCTACACCCTGCCAGTACATCCCTATCTCCGTGTCGGTTGGTGAGGCTACAAGATGCAGCGCAGGCGTCGGGTTGAGAGAAGCTCTCCTGAGTTTCGGTGAGGCGCAGGAGCCTTGAAGTTTCCTGATCGATCTTGCACAAGATTTGTAAGCGGAGCAGGAGGTCATACACGTCTTGTCCAAGCAGGGCTGCGACCCGGCTGACAGGAATTGCTCGGTGAAGAAGGAACAAGCGCACGAGATCCGCCGTGCTCGCCCTGGCCCTCGTCCTCGAACCGGGCTTCTGCTGCCAAATCTGCAGTCTCTGCTCCAACAGGCCGTCGGATCTCGCCAAAACGAACTCTGTCAAGCAAGCCGCGCCTGCTCCTTCCATCACCGTTGACTCCGTGTACGAGGCTGCCAAAAGCCTCTCCTTCACGAGTTTCAGTTCTTCCAGCTGCAGCAGTTCGTCTGCACTGAGGAACTTCGGCGACCTTGCTGCCAGAAGCTTCGTGGCGTACTCCAAGAGCTGATGATCCAAGTGGACAGTACCGGATCCCTGCAATCGTGCGGCGTCTGTCAGTGCCGCGTGCGCGCCTTCGATGTCAAAGAGCCGGAAACGTTGGAGTCCAAGGCTCGAGAGGAGGGCGACGACTCTTCCTTCGCCTTCGCCTTCTTTCGCCTCTGCTCCCTTGGCTCCCTTGGCGTGTCGCTCCTGTCGCAGCAGGAAGCTGAGCTTCTCCTCCTCGCAACGGACAGCGGCTCGGGTTGCGAGGCCGTGCGCAGTCACCAGGGCATCGCTTGTCTGATGCCGCGGTGCCGATGCAGTGCTCGCCGGGTCGCCCCAGGGACAGCGTTTCAAGAATTCCCGAAGGCTCGTCTCTCTTCGCTGCAGGGTCTCGATGTCGGAGGCCGCTGTGTCGGATGACAGCGCTCTCCAATCCGAGCTCACCTGCAAAAGGGACTCGGCGGACTTCTCCAGGACCTGGATCCAGGCTTCTGGCGAATTTCGTAGGGAATCTTTCTTCATGGATTTCCTGGCCATCATCGAGGCCAATGTCAGCAGTGTGTAGGGTCCTCTCTCAGTTCGATGATGTCGGTGGTTCCATGCTCCGGGACGCTGCCCGGAGCAAAAGCTTCGCGATGCTGCCCCCAGAGGCTTCGGCATGCGAAGAGCGCAACCGGCCATGTAAGGTCCCGTCATACCAGTTGGGCTTGGAGCTGAGGCAGCCTCTCTTCTGGCTCGAACCAAGCCGCCGAAAGTTCCACTTCGACCCTCGTGACTCATGACTGGAAGCCAACAACTGGGGTCTTTCATGCAGAGACTCCTAATCGACTACTACTTTCCGAACCCTTCCGATCGTCTCCACACTTGAGTTTGGGATCTTCGAAGCATGGAAAACACGTGCGATTCGCAGGGAATCAGCTCTCACCTCGCTTTTATCCTCAGCTCTCACCTTGCCGCGCACGCTTCGCAGGAGGTTCCTCTTCTGCAGCCCCTGCAGCCTCTGCACCCTCCTGGGCGCACGGCTGGGAATCGCCTTCCTGCGCTGTTCTTGGCACTTGGAACTTGTGCACCTCAATTGGAACCTATGCACCTTCAGCAGCCTCCTAGGCCTTAAGCTCTGAAGTCTTAAACTGAAAAGCTTCCGACTCCTCTTCGTCGTCATCGTCGCTCAAGTCCTCCTCCTCTGCCTGCTCGGAGCCTGCGGGCGCCTCCTGCATAGCCCGCCATTCCTGCAAAGGGAGCGGTACTCAGTACTCCTCAACTTTCATTGCAGCTTGATCTGACGACATGCCCGTATGACACATCCTAGTCGTCACCTAGTCACTGCGGCTCTAGGAGTGGGAACCGTTTCGGGAACTGCGCCACGGTTGCGTTGTTTCCATGACTGCCCGGCCGACGCCTGCGCGGTGATCTCGCCCGGCCCATCCTCGGACGCGAGCTCTTTGGTGGCCGCTACGACGGCCTTGGCAACCTCCTCTGGAGCGGCGCTCAGCACAGCATCGAGATCGGCAATGATCGCGGGAACCATGAGATCACCATCTGCCAAGGAGTCTGGGTTCAGGAGATTCATGACCTCTGTCTGGCTGATAGTCGCACCCTGGTCCAACTGTTCTGATAGCCTGGCTACTCCACCTTTGGGGAAGTAGACCATCATCTCAGATTCGGACTCTGAATCTAAGCCCCTCTCCCAGTCGATGCTTTCACTGAGGACATGGCCTAACTGCTTGCACATGAAGCCTGCCACGGCATCCATGAGTGCAGGACAGGACTCGTGCTTCAAGCCCGGAAACTGCTTGAACTCGATAGATGCCTGAGCCTTGGTCAGAATCTGCGCTGCAGCTTCTCCGCAATCGAAGCCTACCATGTCGTCTGCCGTCCCGTGGCAGAGGAGGAAGGATGTTGATCCCTTCCATCCATCAGAAAGGATCTTGCGTGCACTGGGCGTCAGCCATCCCGAGACAGCAACACAGCCAGCCAAAGGGCGAGGGTGCTGGAGAGCGCAATGCAGGGCAATGGCGGCGCCCTGAGAGAAACCTCCGATCAGCACTTGCTCGGAAGGCATCCTCTTCTCAAGTTTCTCGATTTCGGCCAAAACCATCGCAACAGAAGCAGCATAAGATCCGCCCTTGTCCTCATCGATGTAGTCGGTAGAGCCGACATGAATAACTTCTTGAGTGTGGAATTGCCCCCAGCCCCTGAGCTTCTTATTCCCATAGCACGGCTGCTCCAGAAGAGGGGCGCAGAGGTGATGCCAGGACCAGCTCGTGAGACCCTGAAGGGGTTGCCATGCCATGGCCCATCCTTCAGGCGAATCCCCGAAACCATGCAGCCAAATCACGGCTCTGGTGGCCGTCGCCTCTGCCTCGCCGACAACCAAGTTGCCAGCTGCGTCTTTGGGCATGGCTCTGCGGATCTTCAGGAGCTGTGACAGCAGCTGTGATGCACTCTTGTGATGTTGTGCTTCTTGCTTCCCGTGCGGCTGTCCTCGCCGCGATGAGAAGTGTGCAGATGCTGAAGCTTCACTCTTGACATGCTGCCTGAGCTTTGAACCAAGCCCTGCCTGAAGCTTTACGAGAGCAAGGTGTCAGAGGGCTCTAGGCTAGAGTCTCTAGAGTTCGTGCAGGCAGATGGCTGTAGCTTCATTTTCTGAACGAGCGACTTTGGACACGCAAGTGCAGCATGTGTTTCCATGCCATCCATGAACGTCCCGGCGAGCTCTGTGAGCGATGCTGGGGACCACCGGGATTCTGCTCGAAGAAGAAGTAGACCACGACGCGCCGACTGTGAACTTTACACAGCTACACCGTCTCAATGGACCACCTCGGACAGGCCGGCTAAAGCTGCGTGCATGCGAAGTGCAGCGGGGCCGCTCTCGCTGCACCGAATCCATGAGAAAGATCGTGCAGTCAGGCAGCATCTCAATGTCGCGCACCACGAACTCAGACTTTGAAGCGAGTGTGGGGTTCCTGTGTCAGCTTGCATGACGCTTCTCGTGGGGCGGACATAGTGGGACCCTGGAGCATTCTGAGAGCCATGGCTGGAAGGTCACGGTCGGAGAAGAGTGTCCCTGCCTTAGCACTCCCATCGGAGAAATTGGAAGGACTGAACTTCTGCCTACAACCCAAAGCAAGAATTCTTCCTTCGAGAGGTTCACCGGCAAAGGACACAAACGCCTCCACCCTCCGGCCCTCCCACCGAACCGTCAATCTGGCCATCCAGCAAGCAATAGCAAGCCCTTTCGGGCTGGCGCAATAGATCAGATTGGATCACGAAGGCAAGCCGTCCTGCAGCCATCTGCCTACTCTGCGGTATACGGGCTAGTGTGCATGACAGCTGCACGATCCGGAGTAGGTTATTGCCAAGCTCTGACTTCGTTACTTTTGCCGATTTGCTGCCCCTTGCTTGCCAGCAAGAACTGCCAAGGCCTTCTTGCACTCCGAAGCTCGGGTGAGCAATGTGGTGCTGACAGTTTGGACGCATTCTTTCACGACTTGAGGAAAGCTTCAAACTCAAAGCTTGGCTAGTAGGCCCATGGAAGGTTTCCTACTTTGACAAGAAGGCAAGCGGGGGTGTGCTATGCGGTCGCAAACATTCCAAGCTCTAAGCTAACTGAATTGGGTGTGGCAACGGGGTCCTTCTCCACCTCCCATTCCAAACATGGACTTGTCTGCATACATGCAGCACCTTGGCAATGACGACCACTCCTTCCATTCCCTCACGGCTGATGCAGGTTTTCTCCGCCACGGGATAAGCAATCCAGAGTAATCCAGGCCGAGATTGAGGTGCTTGGCCCCCGGAAGCTCTTCAACTTTCAGGCTTCTCTGGCGAAGGATCTGGGACCCCAGCGCGTTTTCCGAAGACCAGGGGAAGAATTGAACCTGATGCCATCACCGGCCCGAAGTCCCAACTCCACTGAAGCTCACAGCCAAAAATGAAAAGTTTCCAGCGTGCCTCTGCTGGCTGTTCAGTCTTGCACCCGAAAGAGAACACGAAAGCCTGCACCCAAGCAGTCTCAGGGACCTCGATTTGGTGCCGTTCTGCAAGAGATCTGGGTTTCCTGTATGGAGTAAACTCGCACTGGGCAGCCCTCTTACGGCCTCGCCAGATCCGTAGAACCTGCCGACTCGATGCGACGCCGCAGAGCATCCGAACTGCGTGGCGCGCTGTACTGTGCTGTGCCTGCCAGCCGGCTCCCAGGCTGAAGTGGCGAAGCCTCCAAAGACAAAGTCCTGGCCGAGCGTCGTCTCTGAGCACTTCGTTCTGGCATTTGGGTTTGCCTTGTCATTGCAAACTTCTGCTATACGAAGAACGCTTGGATGATTTTCAACAAAGTTGCAACTGACGACCGGCCCTGTGGCAATGTTTTTCAGGATTGTCTGCCTGTCTCATCGCGCCATTTTGACAGGTTCTGCAGAGCTTGGCTCCAGAAAACCAGGGCTCCTTCCACTTGGCGTCTACAAGATCCGAGACATCTCACCGAAAGGCTGGGGGGTCCAGGGTAGGTAACTGACAGAAGCCACGCTGTGTTTTTCTTGGTGTGCCTTTTGATTTCGGGTTTTCAACCTTCTGTCATTTACAAGTATTGTTCCACGTGTCTTCTGCATCTTGATACCAAATTCATTCTTTTGTCGCATATTGAATTTTGCTATTTAACTTGTCTCTATTCCTTTGAAGCTTTGAACTACTTTAAACACTAGTTCTCCATAATTCTGAATGTCGGGGTTGGTTGTTTCGTTTTTCAATGTTTCCAAGTCTTTCAACCCTGTTCTGACTTCTTCTGTCTGTGCTTTGGCCATTTTCTAGGAAGGTTTTCTTGTATCCTTATTGCCATGTTCCAAGTCTATTCAACTTTTCTCCTATGACCTTTCTTTTTCTTTGTGTTGTGGATCTTTTGGGGATTTCTGTTACTTTTATTGTTGTCGGCACTTGCATTAAAGGAACTGACAGCAGATGTTTTGCCGGGTTGATTCCATGCCGACTGTTTTTGTAACCCGTGTTCGTGTGAAGCGAACTCTATGTTTGGTCATCTGGGCTCTTGTTTGGAATCGACTTCCCGCTCGTGCGGTCCAGAGCAGATGGCCAACAAAATGGCAAATGGGGGGCTCCGGGCTCCGTCTGTGGTACTGCGCATTTGACGATACTGATGATATCACCCGCGGAGGCTCACATGTTGAAGGCGGAAGTGCGTTTCGGCCATCAAAGAACACCTTCAGTCGACCACGGCAGAAGGCGATATCGGTGTTCCAACGTGCTGAGCAATGGTGTCAGCCTCTGAGTTCAAATTGCTCAGGCTCAAGTATCCACAGGTAATAAAGATTACCATCGAGAAGCACTAATCGTCGTAGTAGCAGAGGATAGCAGTACTAATACTGTAGCAGTAGCAGCAGCAGTAGTAGCAGGAGGAATCGACAAGTCTCTGTTCCAGTGCGCTTGGAAACACCGAGTACTATGGGTGCATCCGAGTGGTGACTAACGGTTTCGGTAGTTCGACCCAGGCATGACGGCAGCTGCCGAGCCGGAGCCTCTGTGTCCTGAAT